CGTGAACCGCCATTAAATAGGTGTGCTTGCCACCAACACCACTGCCTTGTGGCTAGGCTCTTGAGCCAAAGTGCTAAAGGAAACAACCTCGAACAAAGAATCCAAGCGGCTGTTGGGGTCCCGCCTGTATTCAACATAGCCAAGAAACCTCATGAATATGTTAACTTACGTTACTCCGACTCTCGTGAAAACCGCGACTGAAAGTACGATAACACTGCTAGCCTTAACCTCACCCTAATTCTAAAGTACTGAAGCCGAACGCTAATCTCACTCGTAACACTGAAGGGAGAGGTGGCGGTGAATTAGCGAAATGGAAGGGGGGGTTAATTTAAGCCTCCCCAAATGACATAAATAGTTATTTCTTAGAAGTATTTACCAGGTTGGGCCACATACCCGATCCTTGCAGTTTTCACTTGTTTTATTTAAATAAGCAAATGTGACTATCACGTTTAACCCCTCTGTCCTTCAGGTGTGTCAAATTTTATTCGACAAACAGTCCAATCTGCTCACAAGACAAACCGAGTAAGCACAGTCGTTGGCCGCTCGCGATTCCTCGCCGGTTTGACTGGCTCCACCTCAAAGGACTCCTGCGACGAACCGTTGGCGGAGGTGGATAAGCCGACCACAACGAGCTGCCCTCCTCCTCGTCCTTTCACTGATACAGGCATAGTGAAACCCGCTCTCGCCTGTGCTATTGCAAAGGTGCCCCCTCTACTTCTTCATGCTTTCATTCTTTTGAAGACGTTTTGTTGACTCAGTTTGCTTATAATCGGTCTTACGTTCTGCCTTCGTAGACAAGCACGTCTTCGAGTTCACAAATCTAAATAGCGCTTCCTCGTCTCTAATTTCTTCTTCTTTCGTTCCTAGGCCGAACGGCAGGCTGTTAACAGCGCAGTGCAGGGAAGTGCCGCTGATGTGGTCAAGGCCGGTATGCTGGAGGTAGATAAAGCAGTTCGGCGACTGCTCTCCTCAAGCGAAGAACCCAAACCTTCTCTGTGCAACATGGTACTCCACCTCCACGACGAACTCATCTACGAGGTTGTAATGCTGCCCTATTTGAAGTTTATACCGATAGTTGCCCTACTCTAGCAGGCAGTTAGTAGTTGTATTCTTCTTCGTTGTAGGTTGGGCCAGCGGCTGCTGCTCCACGCTTTTCGAGCGCGCTTCGACACTGCCTTTCCTCGGCCGGTTTAAAGTTCAATATGACTGTGCCTCTGCCCGTGAAGATTAAAGCCGGCCCACGTTGGTCTGAACTTCAGCCCGTAGACTGGTGACTTTTAGAACGGCAAGAAACGGTCGTTTTTCACAGTCTTTCAACGTCCTATTTGCCCGAGTGTGCTCACTCCCGATTGTGTCAGAGCCTATTTTTTTCTAACCTCCGAATGCACTCTATTACTTTTTCACTTTTACTTGATGTTACATGTTCTAACTTTATATGTGCGGTCAATGTGAGGTTTTTTATGTTTGGCAATTATCAAATGCTATCTCATTGTTCTACACTTTTTGTGCCAGTAAGAAAATGAGGGTGCTGAGACGTGGGTCTTCAACAGATTAATTTATTTTACATCTGCTGCGTTAAGTTTACTCCGGTCAGGGCCGTTCACCTATATTCTGCATCCACTCTGGTTGTTTTTGCTTCTGCGTTTTCGCTTGTTGGTAATCAGTCCACCGACAGGACAATGAAGAGCATAGTTTCTAGGAGCAGCAGGGGTCGGCGCGTGAGTTATGTTGCGGTAAACCAGATCCCCACAGCTCTTTCAAAGTTGGTCGTTCACAGCCAATTCTCCGCATACGTTCGGAGACCTCAGTTACTGTGTTCCTCCCCTAAGTACCGCCGTGCGCGCGCGTTGCCTTGGCAGTAGCGGGATGTATTTGAGCACAAAATCTGTCAATTTTAGATGTCGGAAATCAGGCTGACAACATAACCGAAAGAAATATCTGACTATTATATCACACTGACTGCGGAAATCGCTATAATGTTTGCCTTGCTTGATATTACAGTCA